TTGTTTTTATTTGGTTTTGACAAGCTGGATTCTCAGTGAAGCCTTAGCATGCAATGCTGGAGATTTTGTTTGTAAGAAAAACAGAAATCAAACTATTTACATGTGATATAGGTTTAAAGGTTTCAAAACACACTCAAAAGATATAACACTGTTAATCTCAAAAGCACAGTACTCATACCAGGAGGAATTCCCTCCTCTTTAACCCCTATAGTGCTTATTTTAACTGTGGCTTTGACTCCCAGTCTTGAGAACCTCTTGACAGCCTCTTCCTAGAGCTTTTACTCAATTGAGCTTAAACTTTCTCAGTTTCAAATAGCTCCTTAAGGGATTTTAATCAAACACTTCTGGACTGAAATGTTTGTTAAACTCCTTATATTGAGAGAACAAGGTGTAGAGCTGGATGAACACAGCAGGCCAGGCAGCATCAGAGGAGCAGGAAAGCTGACGTTTCAGGTCTGGACCCTTCTTCAGAAATGGGGAGGGGAAGGGGAAAAAAAAAATAGAGAGGGGGAGGCGTTGATGGAACGTGGATAACGGAGCTGATAGGTGGAGAGAAGACAGACAGGTCAAGAGGGCGGGGATGGAGCCAGTAAAGGTGAGTGTAGGTAGGGAGTTGGGATGGGGGTTGGTTAGTTGGGTGGGAGGGAAGACAGGCAGGTCAAGGAGGCAGGGATGAGCTGGGCTAGTCTTGGGATGAGGTCGGGGGTGGGGTGATTTTGAAGCTTGTGAAGCCCACATTGAGACCATGGGGCTGTAGGGTTCCCAAGTGAAATATGAGGTGCTGTTCCTGCAGCCTTCGGTTTGCATTGTTGTGACACTGGAGAAGGCCTAGGATGGACATGTTGCCCAAGGAGTGGGAGGGGGAGTTGAAGTGGTTCGCGACTGGGAGATGCAGTTGTTTGTCATGAACCAAGCGTGTGTTCCATGCCCTTGACCACATCACTCGTGTTTCCCGCAACTCATCCCTCACACCTCCTCCCTGCAATAACAACAAAGACAAGAATCGCCCTCGTCCTCGCGTATCACCCCACCAACCTCCGGATTCAACGCATCATCCTCCACCACTTCTGCCACCTGCAATCTGACCCCACCACCAAGGACATTTTTCCCTCCCCACCCTTATCTGCCTTCCGGAGGGACTGCTCTCTCTGTGACTCCCTCATCCGCTCCACACTCCCCTCCAGCCCCACCACCCCTTGCACTTTTCCCTGCAACTGCAGGAAGTGCTACACCTGCCCCCCCCCCCCCGCCCCCCCAACCTCACCCCCGCCCCCCCAACCTCACCCCCATCCCAGGCCCCAAGAAAACCTTCCACATTAAACAGATGTTCACCTGCACATCTGCTAATGTGGTATATTGTATCTGCTGTTCCCGATGTGGGCTCCTCTACATCGGGGAAACGAAGCGGAGGCTTGGGGACCGCTTTGTGGAGCACCTATGCTTGGTTCGTGACAAACGACCGCACCTCCCAGTCGCGAACCACTTCAACTCCCCCTCCCACTCCTTTGATGACATGTCCATCCTAGGTCTCCTCCAGTGTCACAACGATGCCACCCGAAGGCTGCAGGAACAGCACCTCATAATTCGCTTGGGAACCCTACAGCCCAATGGTCTCGATATGGACTTCACAAGCTTCAAAATCTCCCGACCCCCTACCTCATCCCAAGACCAGCCCAGCTCATCCCCGCCTCCTTGACCTGTCCGTCTTGTCTCCCAACTATCCACTGACCAACCCCCACCCCTACTTCCTACCTACTAGCCTCATCCCCACCTTCTCGACCTGTCCATCTTCCCTCCTTCCCAACTGACCAACCCCCATCCCAACTCCCTACCTACACTCACCTTTACTGGCTCCACCCTGCCCCCTTGATCTGTCCATCTTTTCTTCACCTATCAGCTCCTTTATCCACCTTCCATCATCGTCTCATCCTCTCTATTTATTTCAGAGACCCCTTCCCCTGCCCCGTTTCTGAAGGAGGTCCAGACCTGAAACGTCAGCTTTCCTGCTCCTCTGATGCTGCCTGGCCTGCTGTGTTCATTCAGCTCTATACCGTGTTATCTGAGACTCCAGCGTCGGCAGTCCCTACTATCTCTTATATTGAGAGAATCTATTTTTAAACTATTCTAAGTAACTCCTTTCTCAGGAGAAACTGCTTTACAAATCCCCCTTCATCCTTATAGATCTGCCCAAACTGAACTTGATAAAAGCTCTTTTTTTTTTAAATGTCTGAGTGTTCTCCCTAATCAAAAGAAAAAAAAAAGCCAATCCCTGATGTTCTGGTTTGGAGCTAGATCTGGGAACTGTATCTGGCAACACAGTTCAACATTGATAAGTTGAAGTTGAGCTCCAACATTTTACAACATTAGCAACTGCAGTGTGATGGGGAGTGGTGTAGTTCTAGGACAGATCTTTAGGGCATTAATTTCACTGAATCATCTCCTTATCAATTTGGGTGGGAACTCCCAAACCTACCGTATCCTGTTTGCCATGTTTAGGCTGCTACTGCAGCAGATCTCATGCTCATTACCTTTTGCCTCAAAAGAAAAGGAGGATGATAAACTGAGAAACCCAAAAAGCTTAAAACAAACTGAAATTGAATGCCAAGTTTCCAAAATTATGTGGAGACCTTGGTGAAAACCAAAACAGCTTGAGCAATTGGAAAATAATGTGAGATATTTGATTTACCTAGTTTAGCATACATACAGTAGCAATTTTGAAAAAGAAAACCTTTATGCAAATCATCTGGGCTTCCTAAATTTGCAGTTTGCACTAATCTTACTCAGTACAGCAATAAACTCTAATTACTGTCTTTTGGATACTTTTAGTTGCATTGCCAGAACTTTCCTAACCACTAACAAAAGGTCGACTGCTCCATTATACTGGTTTAATTTTGAGTCTTTATAGGAAAGCATATTTCAACTTTAATGACCAATAGGTCCATGGCACTCCTACCTCTGAAAATTTTGAAACATGTTGGATAAAGTTTCATGTTTTTGTCACTGTATTTCTAGGTATTGCAATTATGTTTGCAGAATGTTTTGAATGCTCTGCAGTTTATACATTGTTTTGCCATTATAAAAAGTACACAGTTATATTATTTATCAGAAAAAAATACTGTCAAATTGTTGAATTTAATGTCAGATTAATCTGTTACCAGGCATTGATTAAAATACAAATAGTTAATAAATAGACTCCTAACACCACTACTGCAAGCTCCTACTTGCGAAATATATCTAAGCTTCAGTATGTTAGAATTTTCCATAAGTTTGTACAAATGGTCTTGTATAAATTAACTACAGTAAAAAATCAGTCATTTATGTCATTGCAAAAGCATTTGTGTAAAGGGATAATGCAGTATTATGAGAGTGAAATGTCCTTTAGGGAAAGAAACCTGCCATCCTAACCTGGTCTAGCCTACACGTGACTTTAGACCCACAGTAATTTGGGTGATTATGACTGGCCCTCTGGGCATTTAGGAATGGGCAATAAATGCTGGCGTAGTCAGTCCTGGACAAGTTGAGTGAGTGGGCACAAGCATGACAGATGAAGTATATTGTGGATAATTGAGAGGTTATCCGCTTTGCTAACAAAAACAGGAAGATGGATTAGTATCTAAATGATTGGGAAAGGGGGAAGTGCAATGTGTCGTTGTACACCAGTTGCTGAAAGTAAAAATGCATGTTCAGTCAGTAATGAAGAAAGTAAATGGTACGTTGGCCTTCATAGTGTGGGGCGGCATGGTGGCACAGTGTTTAGCTCTGCTGCCTCTCAGTGCCAGAGACCTGGGTTCGATTCCATCTGTCTGGAGTTTGCATGTTCTCCCCGTGTCTGCATGGGTTTCCTCCGGGTGCTTTGGTTTCCTCCCACAGTCCAAAGATGTGCAGTCTAGGTGGATTGGCCATGCTAAATTGCCCGTAGTATTCGGGGATATATAGTTGAGGTGGATTATAGGGGGATGGGTCTGGATGGGATGCTCTGAGGGGCAGTGTGGACTTGTTGGGCCGAAGGGCCTGTTTCCACGCTGTAGGGATTCTATGATCTATGATTCTGTGATTTGAGTACAAAAGCAGAGATGTCTTGCTGCGATTGTACAGAACTTTGATGAAACCACACCTGGAGTATTGTGTAAAAACCAAAAGAACTGCTGATGCTGTAAATCAGGAACCAAAACAAAGTTGCTGGAAAAGCTCAGCAGGTCTGGCAGCATCTGTGAAGGAAAAAACAGAGTTAACGTTTCGGATCCGGTGACTCTTCCTCAGAATTGACCGGACCCAAAACGTTAATTCTGTTTTTTTCCTTCACAGATGCTGCCAGACATGCTGACCTTTTCCAGCAACTTTGTTTTTGTTCCTGGAGTGTTGTGCACAGTTTTGGTCTCCTTATCTGAGGAAGAATGTTCTGGCTATGGAGGGAGTGCATTGAATGTCTACCAGGTTGATTCCTGTGATGGCAAGACTGATGTATGATGAGAGACTGGATGGGTTAGAACTATATACTGGATAGAACTATATTCACTGCAGTTTAGAAGAATGAGGGGAGAAGAATCTTCTGGAGTCCTGTAAAATTCAAACGGGGCTAGACAGGCTAAGTGCAGGAAGGATGTTCCTGAACCAGGGGACACAGTCTAAGAATAGAGAGTAGCCCATTTAGGACTTAAATTAGGAGAAATTTCTTCACCCACTGAGTAGTGAGTCTGTGGAATTCTTTGCCACAGAAAGCAGTTGAGGCCAAAAAATTTAATAGATGCAGTTCATGGGGCTAACGCCATCACTTGGGTAAGGGTGAAAGTGTGAGCAGGTTACTGAGTTGGATGATCAACCATGAACATATTGAATTGTGGAATGGCCTTGAAGGGCTAAATGGATTCCTCTTGTTCCAATTTTTCTGCGTGATAGCCACACGTTGGGAACAAACTGTAAACAATTGATATTTTGACTGGAAAGTGCTGTAATTATTGCTTAGTTTAATTCTGAGTAAGAGACATGTTCTTCTTTTACAGTCAGTCCAAATCAAAAAGCCAGACCCTGCAAGACACCTTGTTCCCTCCGAACAACTTGTTCGAACTGCACAAGCCAGAATGTGGAATGTATGTGGTGCAGCAGTGCTAAGCGTTGTGTGGATTCAAATACATATGTAATTTCTTTTCCGTATGGACAGTGCATGGAGTGGCAAACTGTGAACTGTCTTTGTAAGTACTTGATTATTTTGTTTTACAAGGCATCTCTTGGTTGAATAGCAACTTTATCCAAAAAGGATCTCATGTTGGGATACCGCAATTGACCTAAATACACGCAACAAGAATAAGTAATGACCAAGATAGCCACTTTAAGGTGCTTCCCAATAACTTGTGCTCGAAGCAAATGTATGTGGCTGTTGTAAGAGTACTGGATGAAATCTAGCTGTGAATGTTAAATAGCAGTAGTCACGCATTAAAAAATTAGTCACCAAATAATTTGCTCGATGGTGCTGGTGCCTGTGTAACTGTTTTGCAGTAAAGAGCCAATATGCTTAGGAAAGGAGAGGGTAAAATTAACAAGGGAACAGTATGATAAATGGGTTTTTTTTTCAATCAATCTCTCAAAATGTCCAAAACCTAGGTGTTATACTAGCTTCTCATGTTTAAAAATTGAAACTCTTTTATCATTTTTCAAGTCTTTTTGGAATTAAAGACTGAAAAGAGAATCTGATGCTTATTTACTGAAGCATCAAGAAGTAGAAAATATCAACCTTTTAGATCCACATCGATCAAGTAGTACAACAGTTTACAGTAGAACAAACTGAAGTTATTTATTTATCCACATTTCCACAGGTAACAAAATAATTATTTTATGTCAACAAGATGCAGAGCTGGATGAACACAGGCTAAGCAGCATCATAGGAGCAGAAAGGCTGACGTTTCGGGCCTAGACCCTTCATCAGAAAAGTGGGAGGGGAAGGGGGTTCTGAAATAAATAGGGAGAGAGGGGGAGGCAGATAGAAGATGGATAGAGGAGAGGATAGGTGGAGAGGAAACAAACAGGTCGAAGAGGCGGGGATGGAGCCAGTAAAGGTGAGTGTAGGTGGGGAGTTAGGGAGGGGATAGGTCAGTCCAGGGAGGACGGACAGGTCAAGGGGGCGGGATGAGGTTAGTCGGTAGGAGATGGAGGTGCGGCTTGAGGTGGGAGGAGGGGATAGGTGGGAGGAAGAACAGGTTAGGGAGGCAGGGACGAGCTGGACTGGTTTTGGGATGCGGTAGGGGGAGGGGAGATTTTGAAACTTGTGAAATCCACATTGATACCATTGGGCTGCAGGGTTCCCAAGCGGAATATGAGTTGCTGTTCCTGCAACCTTCGGGTGGCATCGTTGTGGCACTGCAGGAGGCCCAGGATGGACATGTCGTCTGAGGAATGGGAGGGGGAGTTGAAATGGTTCGCGACTGGGAGGTGCAGTTGTTTATTGCGAACCGAGCGTAGGTGTTCTGCAAAGCGGTCCCCGAGTCTCCGCTTGGTTTCCCCGATGTAGAGGAAGCCACACCGGGTACAGCGGATGCAGTATACCACATTGGCAGATGTGCAGGTGAACATCTGCTTGATGTGGAAAGTCTTCTTGGGGCCTGGGATGGGGGTGAGGGAGGAGGTATGGGGGCAGGTGTAGCACTTCCTGCGGTTGCAGGGAAAAGTGCCGGGTGTGGTGGAGCTGGAGGGGAGTGTGGAGCGGACAAGGGAGTCACGGAGAGAGTTGTCCCTCCGGAAAGCAGATAAAGGTGGGGAGGGAAAGATGTCTTTGGTGGTGGGGTCGGATTGCAGATGGCGGAAGTGTCGGAGGATGATGCGTTGGATCCGGAGGTTGGTGGGGTGGTACGTGAGGACGAGGGGGATTCTTTTTTGGTTTTTATTGCGTGGACGGGGTGTGAGGGATGAGGTGCGGGAGATGTGGGAGACACGGTTGAGGGCGTTCTCGACCACCGAGGAGGGGAAGTTACGGTCCTTGAAAAACGAGGACAACTGAGATGTACGGGAGTGGAATGCCTCATCCTGGGAGCAGATGCGGCGGAGGCGAAGGAATTGGGAATAGGGGATAGCATTTTTGCAGGAAGGTGGGTGGGAGGAGGAGTATTCTAGGTAGCTGTGGGAGTCGGTGGGCTTGAAATGAATATCGGTTTCGAGGTGGTTGCCCGATATGGAGACAGAGAGGTCCAGGAAGGGGAGAGAGGTGTTAGAGATGGTCCAGGTAAACTTAAGGTTGGGGTGGAAGGTGTTAGTGAAGTGTATGAACTGTTCGAGCTCCTCGTGGGAGCACGAGGCGGCGCCGATACAGTCATCAATGTAACGGAGGAAGAGGTGGGGTTTAGGGCCGGTGTAGGTACGGAAGAGGGATTGTTCCACGTAACCTACAAAGAGGCAGGCGTAGCTTGGGCCCATGCGGGTACCCATGGCTACCCCCTTTGTCTGTAGGAAGTGGGAGGAATTGAAAGAGAAGTTGTTGAGTGTGAGGACGAGTTCGGCTAAGCGGATGAGGGTGTCAGTGGAGGGGGACTGGTCGGGCCTGCGGGACAGGAAGAAGCGGAGGGCCTTTAGGCCATCTGCATGGGGAATGCAGGTGTATAGGGACTGGACGTCCATGGTAAAGATGA